GGAAATCTTGATTATTTTTTCTCGAGACATTTACTGTTCAAAGATCTTATATCATGCTTATTCATTACGTTACTTTACTAAGGGACGACTCAGAATAAATATGACCAACTTATAGGGTATATATGAGAGTACCAATTGATCAATTGTGGCCAATGACTTTGAGGCGAGAAATTTTATTTAACGAATACGTGACTTTTGCTCCTGATTTCTAGGCAACTCTTCATGCTCTGGTGTTTGCCAAGTCACGGACTGAAGAAGTGAAAGAGAATGCCTACCCAACCACATGTCGTTGGCAATATCTGATCAATATCCACACTTGTGCATGCTCTAAAGTTAAAAACATTTATTCTGCGGCACGTTGTTCATCTGCAGCAACAAACTCGAGTTTACAAACACATGAGTTACTTTTTATTCCCCTTTTTCTAATAGCGCAGTGTCCGTCGACGTAAACAGAAACGAAGTTTGGAAGGTGATTTCTCCAACATCACTCGTCAACGTCTCCGAGAAATTTCGCCGCCAAGTTCCAACACATTTCCGTACCTCCGCCCCGTCTCGCCCACACTCTGCGCGCCTGGCGGCGGGAGCGGAAAATTGCTTGTTGCACTATCGACTTCCACGCAATCCGCTCAAGCGAACTTCGCCCTTCTTTACAACGTTATCCTCGCCGCGCTCACCACCTTCGAGGGGCGGGGGTGGAGTAGGGCGGGACGTCCCGGCGGAAAGGCGGGCGAAGGCACAGAATGGAGCAGCAAGGAGCGTGCGGAGAGGAGCGGGACGAATGGGGGTGGAGAGACGAGGGGAACGGACAAAGAGAAGCGAAGTGCGGGCCGGAGCGGATCGGAATGGTGAGGGCGGAGCGGAGGAGGCGGGAGAGAAGGGCAGGGAGCGGCGGGGAAGGGTGCGATTAGGAGCGAAGAGAGGCTGGGGGAACGGGCAAACGAAGGCAGAACAGAGAATGGCGGGCCGGAGAGGATCGGGGCGGGGCAGAGGGGAAGAGAAG